GGTCAGTGCATTGAAAAGAAATCTGGCTTCTCCAGAAGTTACTTTCACTTTGCATTCTGAGTCTTTAAAAGTAGTGCACTTCTGTTTATTTTAGTGGCTATAATCTCATTTGCCACATTTGCAGCAAAACTCTCAGCAATACGAAGTGTTCAGGGTTAACCCAAAGCTGTTTAATACTTGAGATGAACGTTCCAGCTTCCCATCTTGGGCAAGGATGGGGGGAAAAAGGAATTGGGGGGGGGGGGAGGACATACTCAATGCCCTACTAACAATTACGTCATTAAAGGTGACTAAATAGGGGTTTACTGAAACCAAAAGTGTTTGGCTGAAAGGTGCACGAATCACAGCCTTGCTGTAAACCACAATTTTTATCAAATGAATGCAGAAGAAGAAGGATGCATAATTTTCATGTTAAAACTACCTACAGTTAATATCCATATAACATAAACTGATCACAAATACATCCCTCCACACCTGACACATGTTACAGCAATGCCTGAGTATTGAAAGACAAATTATTCACACATTTTCTAACCTGCAAACTGGTTGCAGAACTTAAGTATCAGAACTGGGAAATCAAACCAAAAATAAAAACCACATGGAATGAGAGTCTGCAAAACACTTCACAATTGTAACATTTTCTATTTTCAGAAACTTTCTACTAAATTATCCTTTTGAATGAGAGTCAACAAAACACTTCACTACTGTGACAATTTTTACATTCACAACAGATCTTCTAATATAGAACCTTTACATAAATTTATCAACCATAGAAGGAGGGTAACGATCTCCATACAAGAAAAACTGTATGCAAAATTATATGAATGAGAGTCTATGATACACTTCACTACTGTGAAAGTTGCCTCATTCACTGCAGACTTTCTAATAAAGAAACTTTATATAAATTGATCAACAAGAGAAGGTGATGATATTTCATCATCATTGGCAGTTATGCTTCTCCAAAAATCTCAATGTTTGCTGTTTTGTAGGTGTCTTCCAGCGTGTCTGCTAACTGTCCATGTCTCATATGCATAAAAGAAAACAGGTTCTATATAGCACTATACCACTCCTTGTTCACTGATGAAGGGGGGAAAAAAACAGTTCCTCGCTATCAATGTGTCTTCCTATCTGTATTTGTGTTTAATCATTGTCTTGTGACAATGCTTGTAGTTTACAACCCTACTTTTATTCTTTGCTTCCCTTAGTCTTGGAAACATACAGGCAAACTTGTCTATATATTCAACAAGAAAACAACATCTGGAAGATAATATATCACACTTTATGCCTTCATACATAACACTTAAGTTTAACACAGGAAATTAAAGGGTTATAGTAATGAAGGCAGACCAAAACACTGGGAGAAGGAAACTATAGAGTGGGGTTAAAATGACAGACAGAGCAGGAGGTGAACATCCAGCAGCAGCAAAGGATAGGACAGGATTATTTTTTAAGTAGGCTGGTTAAGAGTCTATGCTCCATTTGGGGGAGGAAGAAGAAGAAGAAAATGAAGAAGAAGGAAGGAGGAGGAGGAGAACAAGAATAAGAAGAATAAGAACAAGAAGACAAAGATCAAACACAAACAGCAAGTGATGAGTTAGAACTTTCAATATACTAATCATTCAAAGATGCCAGACATGGTCACTCACAACAAACCATAAAAGAAAATTAGTAACCATGGAGATGAGATGTCAGAAGGGCTGTAGGAGTGACCACAAGAGATAAGATCAGGAATGAGATCATAAGAAAAAAATGTCAGCACAGAACCAATTCTAAATTACATACGAATACAGCAGGTGAAATGGTTTGCCCACTTAGAGAGAATGCCTTGTGACACCATACCATACAAAGCATACATGGAAAGAGAAGAAGGACGTAGAACACGAGGTAGACCAAGAACAAGATGGAAGGATAACATCAGAGAAACTCTACAACAGCATGATGTGCCTATGGTCGAGGCGGCCAGAAGAGCTAGAGACAGAACCTTATATCTCCCTCGACACCCACAGCGGTAAAAGAGGAAGTGAAGAAGAAGAAGAAGAATCATTCAAAGATACACAAAATTGGTGGACATCTATAATATGAACATATTACACACAATAATATAGAAACTGGAAACAAAAAATATTTGATTTTAAAAAGGGAAGAATTCAGAAATAAAAGTAATGCTTATTGACATATGGCAGATGATTATTTGTTGTTACAAGGACTTGAAAGTAAATAATACAAATATCTGACATATATATGTAAAAACTGTACATCAATAAAAGTACTTTCTATGATGAATGAATAAATGATTAGGTGAATTAATGAATGCATCAATTAATTAAAAATGAATTAATTAATTCAAGAATGAATTAATGGGAAAAAAAATTGACTAATATCTTAATGGAAAATGAATGAATGAAGAAATGACATCACTCAATACACTTCAGACATTCCCACATGTCTCTTTCTTCCCAAGCCAATTAAGAGTTCCCTTCTATTCTCTGAAAAATGGACTAACATTCAATGTTTCTTCTTTGCAGGTCCATGTGGCCAACCAACTATTTATACATACATACTATCTATACCTGAATATACAGATTAACGACTATACTATCTATACCTGAATATACAGATTAACGACTATATCATTTAAAATGATTTCAAGTTCCAACATTTATTCTCCCGCCTTGGAAGAAATTTCCCTTCATTCAAGTAAAACTAATTTGATGTATTAAAGAACAGTGTACGGTTGGCCAAACGGTTAAAATGCTGGCTCTCAAATGGAAGACCCGGATTCGAATCTTCGTTAAGGCTTGGGGTTTTTTCTGTCAGGGGCAAAATAAAATCCTCCCCTGCACAACTGTGGCAACATCACTAGCTATGCGGCCGTAAATCCTCAGGCTTAAAGACCCCTCCAGCCTACATGGCAAAAGTGGTGTAATAAAGGCGGTAACTGACAGTACAAGTGTTCATACACTGAGCTGACAGACTCACAAAAGAGAATATATGTACATAAACAGCCAAGCTGTCATTTTGTATGTGTCAGTCAATCAGTCAGATGGCATCTCCACAATAAAGGTTGGCTGGAATGCATTCAGTTACTGGCACTAAAACCGTTGTTCATCTCTTGATGTTTTCCTCCCATATGTACTGCTTTCTTTCTCGTCCAACAGAAAAATTTCCCTCCACCAAGTTTTTGTTTTGTGTTTTTTAATTTCCTTCAACTTTTTTCTTTTTAACCACATCCCTCTAAAACCTTTTCTAAGTTTTCTGTTTCACATTTCAAATCTTACCTTTACATTACAAGTCTTCACTATTTTACAATTTGTAGATTTATGTTTCCCATCCCCCCCCCCCCCAACCCCATAATCTTATCTATTCCACCATACTTCCATAGTCTGATATGATACAAGTCAACAAGAAATGAATACAGTTCAATGACTGTCAACAATAAACATATAAACACATACATACACTATGTACAAGCCCAAGCAAAACCAGGCTTTGAAATAAACTGCATTCCTATACCCACGTAACATTTCAGAGGAAAGGGTTCAAACACATTTCTTCCTCTTCTTCTCACAAAGCTCTGTCTCTTCTGGTAACACAAATTTCCCTTTTCTTCTTTTTCTTCTCACAAAGGTCATGACCTGTTGTTTTTTTTTAAAGCGTTCCAGGGTGACAGGATTAAACTCAATTCCTCAACAAACCAGGAGTTTAAGTAACAACTGTTCTGGTACTAAAAAAGCTAATGGCCAGGCCTGATGGTGGTAACAAAGAGTGTGTATGAATGTGGCTGATCACGTGCCTTTTGCTTCCCATGTTGATACTTGCGTACTCCCTGCCAGTGATTTGCAGATGAGAAAGCCACAGCCTTCCCCCCTACCCCCATGAAAGCTAAGGTGCAACTCATGTGCTCTAGGGAATGATAAATGGCCAGACCTGGGATTCTCTCTACTGCATGTAGAGAGCATGTCGGCAGCATCTGTCCAGTATTCTGTCATGCCTATGTGGGCAAAAGTTTGAACATATAACAGCCGGGTCTGAAGGCAAGATTGTTGGCCATTGTGCTGGAGCTACCACTGATTTGCTCAGTGAGTTAAGCACGGAGTACCTGAATACACCCATTAAACTTATCAATTTATGAGTTCCATCCGTGGCTAAGGCGTTGCAAGTCCGACTCGTAATTCCAACGTGCCACGGTCAAAATCCACTCCTGGCTGCGTGGATTTTTATCATGGTATGGGGCGTCGCAGGTCGACCTAGCCTAAAATGGGTACCAGCATTGATGTCCTGGGGAAGTAAAGACGGCCGGCGTAATGTTGACAATATTACCCACCTAGTGCTGATTGGTCAGTGAAAATATGGGATGCTCTTCCCACATGCCCGATGCGCCTAAGGCATGATAAGTGATCTTTGCTTACTCACTTTATGTATCAGTTCATTACTAGATTGTATGGAAGCAACTCTCTAATTATTAACTTTACTAGAAAGAGCACATGGAAACAACTTTCTAATATTTTACTACAAAGAGCACTAGGAAACAACTTTCTAATATTTTACTAGAAAGAGCACATGGAAACAACTTTCTAATATTTTACTACAAAGAGCACATGGGAACAAGCTGATCTAATTTCTCTTTAAAAGCAACGCTGTAAAACTGTGTACTATATAAAACTATTATGGAAATCACTGTTTTTTAAATTTACTTCATTATCATAGTACACAAATTCCATTTATCCATACCGTCTCTTTAAAAGTACTGTTTTAAAATGTTGCTCTGCATAAAATTATTCTGGAAAATTTATTCATCAAATTTTTCTGGAATTAATTATTCATCAACTACACTGTTCATTTTCCTACTTCAGAATTTCCTCTTATCCAAATCTTTATCCGACTTCCAAAACTTGACAGAATGCATGGATATTTGGAAGATGATTTCTTCGGCAAAATAGTCAACAAAATTGTCCAATGACAGGTGAGGAACATTAAAAAGCAGCTGGCTGTGGTAAAGGTTAACTGAGAAAATGTTCAAATATGTGAGAATGGTCATCCGTATCCGGGCTGACAGGGGCAGACAACAGCATGGGGTCGCCACTGACAGGAGAGGATTCATCCATGAGCTCGTCCATCTGAGAAAGACATAAATGATGCTGTCTGTCACTTTTCATAGATGATTATGCAATGACAGGTTGGTCTGAGATTCATAATACAAGGTAACACTCAGGTGACACAGACAGTGATAACACACAACATTACCAGGTGAGCTGGCGGGTATGTTTGTGTGACTATGTATGAGCAGTGTGGGGTAGTGACAATGTTTCTGTTTCTCTCTCTCTCTCTCTGTATGTGTGTGTGTGTGCGTGCGTGCATGCATGAAAGAGAGAGAGAGAGAGAGAGAGAGAGAGAGAGAGAGAGAGAGAGAGAGAGAGAGAGAGAGAAAGAGAGAAAGTGTGTGATTGTGTGGCATGGGTTCTTATGTGAGGTGTTTACATTTTTGTTTTCCAATTATTTTATTGGCCTGTAAATGGGTCTTGGAACCCATACGGGGAGTTTGAAGAGCACAAACTTATCAATAAACAAGATAAGCAAACAATAAATTAGCATTAGAACTCATAACCACAGACATAGATTTTATTACAGCACTCGGGGCATTCCCAGAAGCCCTCCGTCCCCATCTTCAGCAGCCAGTAAAAAGTTCCATTACTAACAGTGCCAGTAGCATTCTAATTAAACGTCCGTCTTGCCTCTCCTCTGAACCTCGAGCATCTGCCAAAACCTCTCGTCACTACCCCCCTGTATCAATCTCACCAGACTGTGGTGATCCATCTGCTCCTCCCAACTGTACAAGCTATCCCACAGGGCACTAACCACATCTGCCTTATCATGCATCAGTATTCCACCAAGTTGTGCAGAGCCAGCCAGTCTGTCCACCTGTTCCTTTCCCAACACAGCAGCATTTTCCGGTGAAAAAATCCAGACAATACTCCTCACCCATGTCCTCCGCAACGAGTCATGCCTCACAGACACAGATAGAACTAACTATCTGTTTTCCTAAAAATAAGACAGTCTTATATAAATTTTTGCACCTAAAGACGCCTTAGGAATTATTTTCAGTCGATGTCTTCTTTCCTGCACAAAATTCTACATTTATTCATTTTTCTTCTCAAAGTCCTTGTCATGTGGCAATGGTATTCATGTCTATCTACAACCTTCTGTCTCATGTACTTTCAATTAAACTCTGACACATATGATCCTCCCTGCCATGATGTCAGGCTGTCTAGCATCTTCCCTCTCTCTTATTTCCCAGGATACACAGGACCAAGAAAACCCAATTCATCAAACAAAAATCAAAGGCACAGAAGTTACTTGGTATCTTTCTGGCTTTTTAGACGATAGGGTTAAATATTTATGCACATCCACTTTACAGATCTGGCTTGCTTATATGCAGACTGCTGATTCTTTGCCACTGAGGCAGACACGCTCTGACTTGGGAAGAAAATCCATAATAAGTTTGTTTTTTTGCAAGATGCTCATTGGGAAGGCAGCAGGTCTAGTCTCTCTCTCTCTCCATCCCTCTGTCTCTCTCCCTCCCACCCACCCTCCCTCTCTCTCCTCTTTCTCTGTCTCTGTCTCTGTCTCCTCTCTTTCTCTGTCTCTCTCTGTCTCTCTCTCTGTCTCTCTGTCTCTCTCTCTCTCTCTCTCTCTCTCTCTCTCTCTCTCTCTCTCTCTCTCTCTCTCTCTCTCTCTTAGTATATAATATTTTGGGGGCGCCTTGGAACCCACATTGGACTCTTCTTAGAACAAGAGTGCATACAAGCATCCAGAACTAAACATAACAGTGAAAGTCACAAGGAACTGTACCCCAGAGCAGGATGTGTAGCTTTGTGAAACGCTAGAGGACGTAGCCTGGCTGCTGGACAGAGTCACTGGTGTGGTGTTCAGCAGGTCCGTGGTCATGACGCTGTTCACTGTGCTCATGATCTCGATGTCATCCACCAGAGGGTTATCAATCCCATGGGACTTGATCAGCAGTTGTAATTGCTGTAAGCAAAACAAAAGACGAGAATAATTATGCAAGTTACCAGAGTTGCCAAGTTGCCAGCTATGCTTTAAAAGAGAGGGTATCAACATCTCAGTACCAGGATACATTCTACACGACTTAGTCTGTCTCCAAACAATGGTTGTTTCCCTGAAGAGAGCATCGTAAAAGTTTTCAATTTCTGGTCATTATAAGAGAATAAAACGTGTAATTTTTTTTTTTTTTTTTTGGGTAGCATGTTAATGGATCAAACAATAGCTGGCTGTTGCATTTTCCTCCATATGTAGGCTGTAAGGGTAACATTTTGTCACCCAGCTACTGAGCTGAGTGCATGGCACAAAACGCTGAGCTGCAGATTTTATGTGGAATGCGTTTTTTGACTGTGCCCAACGTGGTCTGTGTTGTGAACTGCTGATTCCGAAAATGGTAAGTAGCCTGTTTCTACAGAACGGCTGGTGCCTTAGGTGATTAATCATACACTGTGATAATAAAATACATATTTGTTGACAAAAACAGAACAATAATTGTTTATACACCAACAGGTAATAAAATACATATTTGTTGACAAAAACAGAACAATAATTGTTTATACACCAACAGGTAATAAAATACATATTTGTTGACAAAAACAGAACAATAATTGTTTATACACCAACAGGTAATAAAATACATATGTGTTGACAAAAACAGAACAATAATTGTTTATACACCAACAGGTAATAAAATACATATGTGTTGACAAAAACAGAACAATAATTGTTTATACACCAACAGGTAATAATAAAATACATATGTGTTGACAAGAACAGAACAATAATTGTTTATACACCAACAGGTAATAAAATACATATGTGTTGACAAGAACAGAACAATAATTGTTTATACACCAACAGGTAATAATAAAATGCATATGTGTTGACAAGAACAGAACAATAATTGTTTATACACCAACAGGTAATAAAATACATATGTGTTGACAAGAACAGAACAATAATTGTTTATACACCAACAGGTAATAATAAAATGCATATGTGTTGACAAGAACAGAACAATAATTGTTTATACACCAACAGGTAATAATAAAATACATATGTGTTGACAAGAACAGAACAATAATTGTTTATACACCAACAGGTAATAATAAAATACATATGTGTTGACAAGAACAGAACAATAATTGTTTATACACCAACAGGTAATAATAAAATACATATGTGTTGACAAGAACAGAACAAAATTGTTTATACACCAACAGGTAATAATAAAATACATATGTGTTGACAAGAACAGAACAATAATTGTTTATACACCAACAGGTAATAATAAAATACATATGTGTTGACAAGAACAGAACAATAATTGTTTATACACCAACAGTTAATAAAATACATATGTGTTGACAAGAACAGAACAATAATTGTTCATACACCAACAGGTAATAATAAAATACATATGTTTTGACAAGAACAGAACAATAATTGTTTATACACCAACAGGTAATAATAAAATACAAATGTGTTGACAAGAACAGAACAATAATTGTTTATACACCAACAGGTAATAATAAAATACATATGTGTTGACAAGAACAGAACAATAATTGTTTATACACCAACAGGTAATAATAAAATACATATGTGTTGACAAGAACAGAACAATAATTGTTCATGCACCAACAGGTAATAATAAAATACATATGTTTTGACAAGAACAGAACAATAATTGTTTATACACCAACAGGTAATAATAAAATACAAATGTGTTGACAAGAACAGAACAGTAATCATTCATTCATCAACAGGTAAGAATAAAATACATATGTGTTGACAAGAACATAAATCATTGCTTTCCCTCCACACTCAACACGCACATAAGCAAACTGCTAACACTTACATTCAGCCTCAGCAGCACCTTGCGAAGATCCATATCTGCCTTCCTCTTCTGCTCCATGACAATCCTGAACCTCCTCTGCTCGTCTTGAAGGGACCTGATGTAGTCAACTGATGCCTTGAGTATAGTTCCTTTATTCTGCCTGAGATCACTGGAATAGTTAATATTTGAGGTGATAAATAAGATTTTGTTAAAAATAGTTAGCTGGCATCTTTCAATAATGTTTCACTGCGCAGGTGGCAGGCAAGGAGTATTTGCAGCCGATAGTGATATTTCTTCTCTCGCATAGCACAATACCTCAGTCATAATTATCATCATGCACCCTGGCAACTGGCATAGCTGCTCATACATCTCTACAGATCATGATCCTTTTTTGCCTGGAACAGCTCTCTTGATGATATCCCTCCATGCCATCGTTTCATTTCAGCCCATCCAGAATCATATCTCTTGATCTGCCTCTACGACCCTTTTTTCACTGATATTTCCAGTTGTCACAATGTTCTCCAATGTCTCTCTTCTCGATATAAGGCTAAAGAACAGTGTTTTTTTTATTGTTGCACATAGAGATCTACTTTCATTAGCTTCTTTCAAACAATCATTGTTAGTTAACTCTTTGAGTACCAAGGAACGCATCATATGTTCATAGGTTCCTACCTAGAAGCCCAATGAACGCATGATACGCTGATTTTATTACTTTCTTTATTACCCCCTGGGCCTGTGATGCTAAACCCCCTGGGACTCAAAGAGTTAATCTGACCGTTCAAGGTATTCCTAACACTGACAATACCTCAGTAGTATTGCAAAAACCATGTTTAATAAAGAATCAACATCAGAGCACTCAGGACATTCTCATAAGCAACCCTCCCCATCTTCAGCAGCAAGCCTCCTCATGTGGGTTCCATGGCATCATTTTGAAAGAAAAAATAACAGACCACTGCCCCCTAACCTGCCGGCTAATTAGGGTTTTGCTAAAATTGGATGTGTGGGGCCAAATAATGCAGCCTAGCTGTAAACTAAAACACAAAACATGCCAACCGCCTTTTTTAAAGGGTGAACACAGAAGAAGAAGAAGCAGAAGAAAAAGAAGAAGAAGGAGGAGGGGGAGAAGGAAAAGGAGGAGGAGGAGGAGGAGTAAGCAAGCAAGCAAGCAAGCACTCCAAGAGTTCCAATTCCGATAGTGCGAGCAGAAGTCTGATTGAACATCCAACTCATCTTTCCCTCGAGCGTTCAGTGCCGGCTAGATTCCCTGGTCACTCCTTGCAGTAGCATTCTCCTCAGACCATAAAAATCTATCTGTGCCTCCGCACTGCTCACTCGCCCCCCAGAAGACTCTTGTAACGTAAAGCTTGGCATGCATGAATTCACCTCTAAGTGGCACAGAACCAGTCAGTCTTCCTGTCTGTTTATTACTCAAAACTTTTGCATGGCCTGGAAAAACTATCCAAAGATGCTAACTACCTAAGACCTCTGAAGAGATGAGTTGCATGATTGCCTCCATCTGCCTGTTTTAAGCAAAAGTAACATCTGTTTCATTTGTTTGGAAAAAAAAGCATATATCAAATGCTGCCAGATCAATGAGTAGTGTTCTGTCTGCCCGCCTGTTGGAGCTCCTCTCTCAGACCAACTGCCAACCAAGGCTAAGGGTTTGCTCTGCCATGCCATGTTAGGTTTTCAGGTCAGATTACTTCAACCCACAGATGTCAAGATAATGCCAGATATTTTATTGACCAATCAGCATTCGATGGGTGATGTGGTCAACATGACACTGGCCGCCTTTGGTTCCCAAGACATTACCTGGCACCCATTTTAGGCTAGGTCGACCTGGGGGCCAAATCTGCCTTGTTGAGGTTGTGAACTGAAGACCTCTGAGATTATTATACAGCTGTGTTTAATTGTTACTTACGGGTCAATACTTTTGGGCAACAATCCTCCCAACTCTTTGATTCTGTCATTTATGTTGAACCGCCGTCTTCTCTCGACTGTTTAAAAAAAAAAAATTATGAAATTAGTTAATAAATATGCTTGTTGTGGGAGGCAGTGGTTCTGTCTAGTCTTGTTTACTCCATGGCTGAATCCCCATGGAGAGCTCCTTTCAACTCAACACATTCCATTACAGCCAATCCTCATTAGTTGCCTTCTTGCTGTATTGAGCCAGTCGGTCTGGTCATTTTTTCTGCCCCAAACCATAAGGCATCTTGACCCACACACCTCAGGGGGTCTCCTGGAGAAGAGGTCATCATCTGCCACGCGCTCTGAAGGTTGTGTGTTCGCTTCATGGCTGTGTCATTCAGTTTTCATGAGTGCAGTTTTTACAGAGATCTCTGGGGATCATTGCCGGAGCTATGGAGTTGGTGCTATGTGTGATGCTCTCGGCTAGCCTTTCTGCTGAAAGAGACCGAGCCATATGGGATCAAACCTGGTGTAATGTAACTTTAACCTTTTACCCAGACACCTATTTCAATTTGCCTTTAACTGGGAAAAGGGGGGGGGGGGGGGGGGGGGGCGCAGAAGCCCAAGCATGTTTTTATAATATTTTCATTAATAAAGCACAAAGTAAAGATTCTTTTACATGCCAGTGGCAGGCACAAAAGGCTAGACATATATTTTTATAGGCCAATTGTCCTAGAAACTGACCTGACAGCCATTTAAGGCTGGGTCGACCTGGGAGCAAAGGTCATGTATCATCATCATCATCATGTGCCCTGCCAACCGGCATAGGTGCTCATGCGTCTCCATGGATCACAATCCCAGGTTGCATGAAACAGCTCTCTTGATGATATTACTCCATGCCTTCATTTCAGCCCATCCAGCATCATCTCTCTTGGTCTACCTATACCCCCTTTTCCACTGATCTTTCCAGCTGTCACAATGTTCTCCAGTGTTTCTCTTCTCCTTATGTGGCCAAAGAACAGTGTTTGTCTCTTTTTTATTGTTGTAAATAGAGATCTACTTTCATTAGCTTTTTTCAAGTAATCGTTGTTAGTTACTCTGGCCGTCCAAGGTATTTGTAACATTCGTCTCAGAACCCACATCTCTGTTTCTTCTAAATTTTTCCTAATTTGTTCACTGGCATTCCAAGATTCGCTGCCAAACAGCAGAACAGGTTCTATGTAACATTTTAGCACCCTATTTCTGACATTAAATAAGAATTAAATAAGAGCGTTTATTGCATGTATGGAATGGAGGGGGAAAAAAGGGGGGGGGGGATTGGGGAGTTGGTATATATGTGTGTTAGAGAGAAGAAACAAATGTCTACACATACTCATGTTGTGATTGTCCTTTTTAATCCTCTCCTTCCTCCACATCTCGTCCTGCACTAAGGCCCCACCGGATGCCAGGTCTTGCCTCCTGAAGGCTGTGGCTGGACAAGAAGAAGCACTGCTGATGGCAGTAGCGTCTGATTCTAGAGCATCATAAGGCTGCAACAATCCTGAAGACAGCTGGTGAAGAGGGTACAGTACACAGTTAACTCTTAACACAATGATTTGTATACAACTCTAGAGCAGTGTCTTGTCTTTCCTGAGGGCAGTTAATTATACTGTGCTACAAGGAGGCATGAGAATCACAGCCCAGGCAATGATGACTAGGACGAGCAATACTGCAGGAGTTAAGAAAAGTTTTCCACGAGACCACAGAATTTCGCAACCACTGTTGCCATGGCTTGAATGTCACCTGCTTCTTCCCACATGCTCAACTCTCAGCTTATCTGCAAATCTTGTTCTCTGTTATCCCTATTCTCTCCGTGATTTCCCTCTTTCTCCTTCTTCTTTTTCATGTTTGTCAGCTGTAAACTCCAGTGGAAAGTTCTGGTTGTGTTCGTAGACTTTTGAACTTTAGTCCTCTTCCAGAACTTGAATTTTGTGTGCACATCCATTTGACAAAACTGGCTTATTTGTGTGCAGACTGCTGGTTCCCTGACTCTCCAGCAAATATTCTCCAACATCAAAGGAAAACCCCTAATTATTTAGTCTACTCTTCTCTAACATGGCTGTTAGAGAGGCAGAGGGTCTTCCCCTCCACCCACCCGCAATGGGCCCTAGACCCCACACGGGGACTGTGGTATTCAAGAACAGCTCGCAATTAACACATGTAGTCTAAAATATTCAGCACATTCAACAAACCCAACATAGCCTGGTGTTATCTCCAGGACATCTCAAGAGTAAACTTCTTATCAATGATACAAGTGGACAGATTAGCCAGTCATCCCCCATTGTAAATGACAAGAGGTTCAACAATCTCATCACCAATGAGTACCTATGTGTCAGCTTAGATTATATAATTTTATTTAGTTCAAGCTGTAAATAACTGCCTGCTTCTTGGTCAATCTCTGTTTTTTTTTTTTTTTTTAAAGTATATATTCTTCTCAAATAAAGTCCTAAAAAAGTATGTGCTGGCAAAAATTGGTTTAAAATTTAAAAAAAAGTACATATTCTTTGAAAATTATAGAAAAAAGCTTGTGCCTTAGTAAATATTGGTCAAAATAATGTAATATTTCATTTTTTAGTCTAATTTTTTTAAGAAATTTTTTTTTATTACCAAAAAAAAAAAAATATACATGACAAAACTTACTCAGAAAAGTATAAACCTTGAATTTTAGTCATAACATTATGTGCCTTAGTAAATGTTAATCCAAAAGTATGCGATTTCCCTGAAGGAATAATAAAATGAAGTGACGATGTATGCTGGAGTACTGAACAGTCACCCTCGTCAGGCAGACTTATCATATGGAATAAAACTGTGCAACGAAATAAATAATCAAACCTTAAGAACACATTTTTGTTTCTACGATGCAGCCAAAAGTTTAAGACTACCTAGAAAATAAGTGATATTTTCACATAATTGAAGAGTACTGCACAGACTCACTGCTGTTTTAGGGCACAATTATAACCGCAATGATTGCTTTAGTGGACACTAAAATAGCAAGCAGTGGATGGTCATCATCTGCCATCTGGATACGGGACATAACTATTCGTTATTTTAAAGCCTTACCCGGGCTGTAGTCAGGGGCCCTTATATAATCTTATGGTTGAACAGGGTTTCTGGGACCTCTCCCCGGGTGATCCTCATCCACATGGTGGCACTTTGCCTCACCGGGTGTTTATCACTTGGTGAATGTCCTGGTTGGGTTGAATCTCATTCATTCAAGCAGTGGTTGCAATAGTTTGTAACAGCATGGAAACAACCTGCTCTCCTAATCAGTTGCCTTGTAAGACATGCTTGTTAGAGAGGCACTGGATCTATTCTTTTCCCCCCTGAAATAGGGTTCCGGAACCCATACGGGGATGAAAATAACTTGACAACCACAGTTCCCATGCCACACATTGTATGGTATTCGACTAATGCTTCGAACAATAGTAAATAACAGAACCTATTTTGACAGCTGACTGTGAATCATGGACGTTTAATAAGTAAGTTACCAACAACACGAGTGAGAAAGAATGTGTTTATATTTTACAACAGCCACAAAGAATGTGTTAGTTTTTCACAACAATGTCAACATGTGTGTTTACAGTAATGACAGTGCCTGTGTCAAGGTTTACAATATACCATAAAATGCTGCGCACAAGTCAACCTGGTGTACAAGTCAATCTCAAGGTTATTAGCTCCAAGTTCTGAGTTAGGCCTATACCTACCCAATGTGTTTTATACCAGCCATATATTTTGGCAATCTTGTTAGAATGCAGCAATACATCAAATACCATAACTTCTCATGTGGGTTCCGGGGCCCTATTGTGGGGGAAAACAAGAATAGACCCAAAAGCCTGTTGCAAGAGTTGACTAACTGGGAGCTTCCTTTAGATCTGTAAAACAGATATGCACACAAAACTCAAGTTCTGGAACAAGAACAAAGTCCAGAAGTGGACAAACAACCAGAACTTTCCGTCGGAGTTTTCAGCTAGCGAATGTGAAGAAGAAGAAGAAGAAAAGTTAATGTTTGGTGTGAAAGAGCTAAAATAACAGTGTGGATGAGAAAAACCTTACAATTTGACATGAGTTTCTGTAATAACACAGTGATAGAAAACAAAAATAAATATTCAATTTTATCTGAACTAACCAATGAACGCATAGCGAGTTGCCAGGTACAGAAAGATTGTACTGTCCCATATTTAAAAAAAAAAAAATTACAATTTATAAATATTAAAATCACCAAAGGGACTGCATTCTGAAGTTAACATATTTTTTGTTGTTGAATGGTGCAGACTCTAAATTTGTTTCTCGGACCACCAAATTGGAAAGACAGCTATAGACAGATTATATCCAAGGATTCTGATGTCACTGTAGCACTGGCATCTGTGGCTAGGGATTGTGAGCCCACTTTGTAATCCTGTGGTCCCACGGTCAATCCCAGCTACAAACGATTTGACCTCGCACTGGTTTCAAAATTGGTATCAAGAGCTGACTGGTCAGACAGCAATGGCAACCACTGAGTGTGAACCTGGCTAGTGAAATCACAAACAGCCAACTGATGCTGGGATTGGTTCAAGAACAAAGGATGTGCAAAGGACATGAGATTAATTTGTTTAGTTAAGTAGCACTGGTAGAAAAGCATGAGAAAAGAAGAATACCATAGTCAAAAGCTGTAAAAGGTACCCACAAGATACATGCAAGAAATATCTTTCTGTCTGTAAGACACATATAGAAAGTAAAACAACTCAAACATCAAATACTTACATTTCCTCCTAGTGATCCTCCTATTGATGGCTGGATTTCAATTAAGTCACTTTCTAACAGACACCCAAACTCCAAATGATCCACAGATTGGAAACCATCCAGCAGATCGAAGCTTGTAGAGACAAACTGTGGATATAGGAAAATAAAGAAATTCAAAGATATTCTTAATACCAACACATGCACAAATTACATGAAAACAGATTATATAAAATATGATTCAACAACGTACAACTCTAGCTTTTTCTTCTTCTGCATTCGAACAGAATAGGGCAGATGGCACACTATGTTGTGGTTTACAAATAGGCTGTGATATCTGCGCCTTTTCAGCCCAACAATTCTAATTTCAGTAAACCCTTTTACAACATGCTCATTAGGAGGCAGTCAGTCTGTACAGACTGCATTGTTCAGCTCAAAAAACTGCAGACTGTTTCAGACTGTACTTTTCAGCTCTGAAAGTTGTAGACTGTTTCACAGACTGCATTGTTTAGCTCTAAAAACTGCAGATCGTTTCACAGACTGTACTTTTCAGCTCTGAAAGTTGTAGACTGTTTTACAGACTGCGTTGTTTAGCTCTAAAAACTGCAGATCGTTTCACAGACTGCACTATTCAGCTCTGAAAGCTGTAGATCATTTCACAGACTGCATTTTGCAGCTCTGAAAGCTGTAGATATTTCACAGACTGCATTGCACTGTGCAGCTCTTGAAAGCTGTAGAAAATTTCATGGACTGCATCAATCAGTTCACCAGTGCAATATGTACCGGTATTCTTTTTTATCATTGCTAGAGATGTGGCTCATGGTTTATGCAATACTTCTGGCAGGCTAGCCCTTCACAATGAGACTAAGTCATGTGGGATAAAACCTGTTGGAATGAATACATTCCACTCAACTTTTTAATTTCTAACCTTACATATATTTCAGTAAACTTTAGCACTTAACAAATACATTTCACAACATACTGCATTCATATTGATCTATAAATACCATATTTACTGGCACAGTTGATTTCTCTCTTAATATCTTCTGTACTTTAGTCACAGCAATTACAACTTAACACTTAGAAGCTTGCTTTATATATATATCTCTGAATTACAAACAAAAGTAAGTATCCTTTATTCAAACACATTCTTCAATTTTGTCATGACCCAATCAACTGGTCTTTTATACAGTAGGTCCTAGTTTAATTTACATAACCAATAGGGACAAAGGTAAGGGCATGTAAGACTATCACTGTTATAACAGGGGTCTAAGTATTAGGGATTTCATCTATAATAGGTTACAGATGGTTGCAATAGGATATCAGTTCTATTCCATGCCAATTCCTTCTACAGCTTAACAGACACAAAAGCAGATCACTAGGGTACAGATCCTGTACCAGGGGAGTGAATGCTGTCTATACACACCACAGATAGTGAGGTGACTATTTTTCTCTCATACCCAGAAAGTGATCAAGGACTACTCTGCATCCATGGTTTTTTTTATCAATAACTGTACATGCCTCTCCCTCCACCCACATCTACACACACACACACACACACAGAGCGAGTGAGAGAGCGAGAGAGAGAGAGAAATCATTGGATGAACATGGGATTATATTATGTCTACATATATGACAGAAACTGCAACGAGGTACAGTCTCCTCTTCTAAAAATCAGGAATACTGTGAAGGGATATCCTGCAACCACTTAACCAGACTATTTAACCCTTAATTACAGAGGTCACACGTAAACATAAAAATCAACCTTTGCCTCTATAGTTGTGGGGGGGAGGGAGGGGGGGGGGGGGGTGCTAGGGCTGCAAAGAGATTATTCTATGTTATCTCCTTATGCTATCTCACTATGTTATCTCAGCTACAAAGCTAGGGGCCTATTTGATCATTTTCTCTGATGTAACAATACTGCAGCAAGACAATGAACTCAAAAGTCAATTTGCTAATCTGAACTTAATGCACTGTAAGCAGGTTGTACTGTCCATTATCAAGACACTGTATGTATATACAATCACTTCTGGGCTACTTCTGCCTGTAAGCACAAACTGCATGACTACGACCAAAGTAGATAACAAATGACACAAGTGGATAAAGTAACAAGTAAACCAGTGTCATCTACCATCAGCAGGTCCGTTACAGAATGTCGCTCTCATCGCAGCATGCCTGAAAGTCTCTCTTTCTCGAGCCAATTCTTCAGCCCTATGTGCTTTCATATCCGATGCAACTGCAATGTCTTATTTCCACCTGCGCAGAGGTCAGCCTGTGCATTGTTTTCTAGAAACTGCACTCTCAATCAGGGTTCTATCTGGACCACCATGATGCTTAAAACATGACCACAATTCCTAAGCTTTCGGGGCAGGAATGCTGTTTGTGAGCCAGTTCTTCTCAATTTTTCAATGGCGGATACACACAAAGGAATAATGTAACAAATAGGACAAGAGTAGAATGACTTAAAGTAGCAAATGGGATATAAACAGAGTTACATCTTTAAAAAAAAAATTTATAACTTTTGTAATCTGGTAATCCTGTAATCTTAGTTTCAGCTTCATAGCAAATGGATCACCCCATAGTTGCTCCCCTTCTGTGCCAACGAAAAAATTTTTTTTTATCACAGTCCCTTGTGTAAAGATTGAGCAAGCCTGCTGACTAGCATATGCACTAGCATACACACGCATTAAAAGCATACGGTAGCCATCCAAGGTGCTAACACAAACAGAAATGCAGTTGATCATGGATGGTAGCACTAGCAGACGTCACCAACAGATCAGCAGTTGCACACGCGATCAATTTTAATCACATAATAGCACCACCAATATTGCGACAACCAGCATCGCGCCATTTTCTGAATCTACAATTCACACCACCATGTTGGTCACAGTCAAAAAAAATTTCAAAATAAAATCCACAGCTCACAGTGTCACGCCATGCACTTCAAGCTGGGCAACGAAACTATATCCTTTCAGTCTACAAAGACAGCGAAAATGCAACGGCCGCCGTCTGATAGAAGCAAAAAATTTGCCACGGCTCAAAACAGTGACCAGTGACCGTGGGAATTCACTTTTGTTTCTTAGCGTTCACCAACTGAAAACTATAGCAGAAAGTTCTAGTTGTCTGTCCACTCCTAGACTTTGGTATTGATCAGGAATTTTTAGTTTCGTGTGCACATCCGTTTTACAGATCTGGTTTATTTGTATAAAAACTGTTTTTTTTTTTTTGACACCGCCTTAGGTTCAAATTTTGAAATCTGGAGAGGAGGTGGGGGGAGGGGGGGGGGTAAATATATCCTTATATAAAAGTGGGTGTTTCGTTTCGTAACTATACAATTTGTACTTTTTTACCATCTAGTTTTTCTTTTGTGGGATTTTTTTTTTTTTTGTGGGGTTTTTTTTTTTTGTGGGGGGGGGGGGGGGGGGGGGGCCTTAAAGCTTTAGTACTGCTTGTGTTTTTGTTCAGCTTATCTGATTTTTCAAAACAAAATCCCTTTGACAGGGTAGACGGTGAAACCAGTAGGAAAATATATAAAAGACATGAGCCAACAGCAGTCCGTCCGCATGTGCAGCCCAGCCAAAGCCGCAGATTCATTGTGTCCCTCCACACCACATTTCTAAGACTGCACCCTGTAGAGTCTTGACACCCAAAGCGTTAAAATGCCAACCACTAATCCGGTGTGCTAATCTAACAGAAACAACAAATACTAGAGACCCCGTTCAATCGCATGCAACAGTTTAATGGGTCACCTCTGAAGTCGCAGCAGGGATGCCAATGCTGGGTTTTTTCCCCAAGATCTTGGTTTTTTTAGTTGCCGTCTTGGTTTCTTGGTTTTTATTTTGAAAATTATTGAAAATCTTGGGTTTTCAGTCTTAATGATGAAAAAAACTACAATTAATAAATATTCTAACAAGAATAATGTGTGTACACATATCTATAATAGTTTTACCCGCAAATTATATTTTGGAATGTCCTACAAACACTTAAAATAAACTCAGTATAATTAATGTAACAGAATACAAAGGTTAACTCCAGGGCTATTCAGGAAAAATGTAGCAGACCACCAAAGGACCAGATTTACGATCCCCAAGTAGTGTCCCTTAAGTAACAGATACTAGGGGCGGAGAAGCAAAATAGATGAAGCCTGGGACTTTTGATCGTAAACTTGGGGACCTGACATTTAATTATTGAAAAATGTTTGGGAGGCTTTTCCTCTCTTCTAGGGGTTATTGACCTGACATTGTAGCGTCTCATTGGTTGAATTGAAAAAAAAAGCAGATTAGCAGAAACCAACTATGGACTACTAGGGTTTAAGTACCTTTAGTTAAGTTTTCACTAGTTTTTGGTTGTGGTAAACCATCCCACTCCACAGCATGCATACAACATGCACATGACCGACAGGACTCATAACAAAATATGACTGACAGCAAATAGGGAATACAAGTGACTCGATAATGACAGGACTAGAACGCATAACCTCCAATACCACCCCATCACTGGGATGATAGCAAAGGTTGGTAACGTGATACACATAGTCCCGGCAAAAAGCCACGCTAGAATCCAGCAAGACGGCAACGACGAGAATTGACTGAATGGCCTCCCGCTCCCCTCCCCCCCCCCCCCCACCTTTCCCTAACTCTTTCGGATGCACTATGAGTTTTAACCCCCCAACCCATTCCCACAGAGAGCACTTGAGTTCGTTGCCCAACATGCCACAACAATTCTTATCGCCGATCATTTGGATCTCAAAGCGTGAGCTTGGACGGTCGGTTATATGGTATTTACGTACCACCGGAGCTTAGCTATCAACACAACCCCGATCACATAATAACAAAAGACGACTGGACCCGCTTAAGACTCCACACAAACTCTCACACACATATCCATTACATGACTAACCCGTTCATATTACAGGAAGACAACTATAAGACCACTATGGTCACACGCGAAAATTTTCACATTTTCGGAACTATTCACATTCATCAAAAACTGTTTTCAGTACTTTTGGCAAAATTAAAATACTCAAAATTTTAAAACAATAAATGGTGGCCGAAAGGTCGTTGTGTTTGGAAGCTCGCTCTCCTTCGAGATACGCCTAGCCAGATCAAGGGGAGACAGAACAAACAGGAAACACCATGAATGAAGAAGGA